CTGGTCCCAGTACGGACCCCTGAGGGACACCACTTGTCACCATTTTCCATTTGGACATCGAGCCATTGACCACTACTCTCTGGATGCAACCATCCAGTCAATTCCTTATCCAGTCTACTCATCAAATCCATATCTCTTTAACTTAGAAAGAAGGATGTGGTGGGGGACCATGTCAAACGCCTTGCAGAAGCCCAGATAGATGACATCCGTAGCTCTTCCCTTGTCCACTGATGCAGTCACTCCATTGTGAAAAGTTGGTCTAAGTTGGTCAGGCAGGATGTGCTCCGAGTAAAGCCATGCTGACTGTCTTGAATCACCTCCCTGTCCTCCATGTGCCTTAGCATAGCTTCTACGAGAATCTGTTTATGCTGATTATTTAGCACAACTGACCATTGATGCCAAGATTCCCCATATGCTGTTGTTGTGGCTTTAAAGACAGTAGGAATACAACAAAAAACCAAATAAGTAGGAATACGCCAGGGAGACGAGGAGATTTTAATCTTACACTTCAGGTCCTTCCCTGAGAAAAGCACCAGTGTACTGAAGATGTGTCACCATCCTTTACTCTGTTTCAACACTACCTTCCCTGTAAGATGCAGGGCATTCCATGGGACCCTTGAAGATGGAACTCACTGACTCTGGAAAGAATTAGATTTTGTAAAGGTAAACTAGATGACTGTTACATGAAAAGAACTCTCATCAAAAAACTGGAACATACTGTTGGAAGTCTTTCAGAAGTAGTAATGTTACACTGAACACGTGTCAATGTGCTATAATTATTTTAGAATGCAGTATTTTTTGATTCAATAGTCAGTGGAACTGCCTATATATTAAAAAGTTGTCCTATAAGCATGATAGATTAATCTAATGATAATGCATACAGGTATCTTAATTAAGATTCAATCTTAGAAGTGTGGAAAATGCATTATTTTCAACAGCACTTTTGGACAATAAAAAAATACAAATATAACATAATAAAAACTTGCTAATGGTCAAATACTTGCCTGGAAATACATCAAGCTCCTCTAAACTAATGAAGGTCACATAAGGTCGATGCACTAAAATGCGTTTAGTTTGCAGAAGATACATCTGTAACAACTGACCCAATCCTGCAGTTAAAAAAAGCAGCATAGCACAATATCTAGGGAGAATACCATAATATATTAGAAAAGCTATACAACTAGATCTTTTGCAAAGAATCAACATTTGTGGGTTGGGGCAAAGCGGTTTTTTTGCTCTTTCAAAGAACATCCAAAATCTATACTTCCCATCTCTTTTGAGTAGGGGCACTTGCTAATTAATTGCATTCACAAGCATGAAAAAGCAATGCAGAATTAGGAAAAAAGCATCACTGTATTCTCCATTGGCTGCTGTTGCTCCTTCTCCCTCCCCCATTCTTCTGCCTTTTGTTCTAAGTTATTCCTGACTG